AAAAAAATTTTATTCTACAATCCCATATGTCTATGTTTATAAAAATATGTCATCAATTATAAAAAAAGTATTTTAGTGACAAATCCATATATATATATATATATATAATACAATAGATATTATTGTACATTATTTGTAATGCTAGTCAATTTTCTTAATAAGAAAACGACGGACTTGTACCCTTTATGAAATATTAATAATCGTGACCTAAACTGTCCCAATTTTTACGGTCAATTAAAGAATGTATATTTTGTTGAGTTAATCCCTATTTATTAGTCAAAGCATTTACATTTAATTCTATTCATCACTTATGATCAATTGAGGTAATTACACTTTAATTAATTTAATTAATTAATTTTACTAGGTCAGTAAAATATCATTTTCGATAAAACGTGTTTTGAATGTAAGGGGGTGCGTCGTGTACAAGTCCGCCAAGAAAACTGCTCGAAAATAAAAAAAAAAAACACGTTGCTTTTATAATCGCTTTTGATGTTAACAACGGTAATAAAAACAACTCAAATGTTAAAGGCACAAATTAAATACTGTCATGATAATCATTTGTTATTGTTATTATATCATTCTTTTTAAATTCATACTAGTCTACCTATATAACGACCGATTAGAAAAATAAAATGGCGTTTACAAAAGATTTGAAGAACCCTAAATAAAGGTTCTTCGAAGTTTTCCGTAAAACGATTTGAAGAACCTTGTGGGTTCTTTGCATTTCTTTGTAAATAAGCCGCCGGTTCTTCAGAAAACCATTAGAGAATATTAAGAACCCGTAGGTTCTTTAAAGAACCTTAAATTTTCTCCAAGAACCTTTCGTTTCTTCAAAGAACCGGCAAAGAACCGCAAAGAACCTTTTAGATTTACAGTGTAGGAATTTTTTTTTTAATGAAGTTTGAAATCTGTCGATAAATTTTAATTTAGTTTAATAAAACAAATAAAAAGAATTAAAAAATTTGTTTTATAAACCATACCTTAGGAGTGGGAGTGAAGGTGGGGGTGGTTTGGGATTGCAGATTTACTCTAACACCACAAAATTGCATAAAAAAACATGCCCGCGAGCATTTATTTCGAGTTTCGAAAAAAAAAAGGCAAACTGAACTATTAATTATATTAATTACTTACTTACTATTTCATTGTGCATAATGCTATTTCAGTTATAACTGTTATTAGAATTTAATTATTAGAGTTACTATTTTAAATATTAACAATTAGCAACGGCCAGCCGTCGCTAATTCTTAATAATAAAATAATAATTCCTTGCACGCGTTGAAGTTTGAACTTAAAACATGATTTTGGTCATTAAATTGAAACTTAATTAATTAGACCGATATATCATGTCAATGTTATAAATACACATCAGAAGTTTTTATTTCAAGCATTTATTTAAAATGTCTAATCATGCGAAAAACCACGTTGATTTTGTTAAAATGTCTTGCATTTGCAACTTTAGAAAACGCGAAACCTATTTAAGTCCTATAAATAATGACGAAAAAACATATATAAACTTAAACAAAAAGAAAAAAGAGTATTAAACCTTATCAAAACAATATTCTGTAAAGATTATTCAGCTAATAACTTAAACCTTCCTACCATGTTTTTCTCAAAATGTAGAAAAAAGTTTGTTGAGACTGACTCTTACTTCGCTAAGCGACCGTGTTATGAAGGTAAAATATACATATTTATATATAATGTACTTTAGTTAAAATTTAGTTACGTTATTATGGGAACAATAGTTACTAGACATACGCTATGAAATTTAGACCTGAATACCAGAGTTATCAGAGGCATAAATGTGAATGTTTTATAAATGAAAATGGGCGCAAATCAAAAATGGAAAAAATATTGGCCTTTATGGTTGAATGTGTTTCGGGAAAACCTGTTTATAAAGGTGCTGAAGACGTTTCAAATAAACCTGCAAAAAGACATATTTGTCCGGACTATGTTTAAGTGTCACAAGGAATTCTAAGTCCTTATTAAAAAGAACGAAAGAATTTAACGGCCATTGTAAGATCAACATCTCCTACAACGCAAGGAAAAGTTCTGTCCAGTTCTATTAAAGGTTTCACCACAAATGAATCAGGGAACGCTTTAGCTTTAAAAACCTTTGGTTCAAAGCAACTTGTTGTCTCTGTTGGAAAGACTGAGGTTAAAAAAACTTTTTTTTTTGTGGATAAATTGAACAAACTTTAACTAAAACTACATACCAGGTTGTCTCACCAGGTAAGGTTTTAATTCTTTAATTTTTTTTCAATAACTTAATTATGAATTTAAAGCAACTTTTAAACAATTTTGTTATGACTTCTAAGTAATCGCAATATGATTGAGTTGCACACTTTCTGAGAAGTTGCACACTTTCTGAGAAGTGAAGGAGGACGGAAAAGTGTGGAATTTGATTTCCATATTAAACTTACTGAGAGCAAAAGGTTCAAAAGATACCCCTATAGGAGTATCTTTTGGTAGAGTATCTTTAATGAAAATTGCAATACATCATATATGATGTATTGCAATCTTCTTCATTAAGCTTCTTTACGGTGCTGAGCATATTGGTAATTTATATCCATCTATCTTCAAAAAAAGAAACCGGCCAACTAAAAAATTCGTGAGCATATCTTTCTGCTGTTTTGCCTCTTGTAGTACCAAACTTTTAATATTACTTTTTTCTAAAGAAATGTCAAATTTGCGAGTCATTTCACCATTTAAAGAGACAAAAGCAGGAGAAGAGAAAAATGCTAACGGTAAAGAATTTGAAACCACCATTTCGATAATGCAACTCTTGAATTTTTCTGCAGTCATAACAGTAATATATTCAGACTTAAAAAAATTGGTTACAGGTGTTTGATATGAAGAACTTGGTGTACGTTCAACTTCACGTTCTCACGTCTGCTTATCCTTTTCAATAACAGTTTTGAAAACATTTGGATGATAACCTTGTCGCTTTAAATTCGATACTCGGGATGGAGCACTGCTACCTTCTTCAGAATATGCGTTGATATTGACACATCTTTCTTCCTCACCGTTTTGGTCACTTGGCGTATGTAAAACTTATCTTCAACAGTGACTGAAAAATATTCAAAAACTGACGATCTCTGCTTTTGCTGACTTTTATCTATGGTCAAGTTGTTAACCGCTGTTTAAAATAAATAAATTTATTGGTTTATGAAAAAGTGTACATTGGGAAACGAATTTGAAAAAAAAATTTAAATTAGTTATTTGTATGAAAAAAGATACTCAGATGAAACTGAAAGTCCACTGTAACTTTAATAATTTGTTTTTAAATAGGAAATCAACTGAAACACCTGACTTATATAATATAATAGTGAAACATTTTTTATAGTAACAATCTGTTTTAAATTTTATTCTGAATATTGTTCAAATTTAAATTAACCACAAACTTTTTTTGTTAACTGTTCAATAACCACTATTGACGTACAAAATAATTTAAATTATGGCACACATTTATTATTTATTTCATTTACACTTGTCTTGTGCGAACAACTTACACTCATCAAATGAATTGAAATCAACTTATTGATCTAGTAATTTGTAATTTGTTAATTTGTATTGCATCGCCAATTTCGAAGAATTTTTTTTTTAAAAGAATTTGATTTTTAGCGTAACATTTTTTAAAAATTCTTTGAATTCTTTAAAAAATGTTACGCTATAATTAAAACTTTTTTTTTTTGCAAAATATATTAAAAATTCTTTGAAGGTTGAATATTTTGTACATGCACGTGTAAAACCGACAAGTTTTACTATTAGAGTTGGAGTCGCGATTTTTTTTTAACGACTCCGCTACAAATGTCGCGACTCCACGACTTCGACTCCGACTCCACAGCCCTGAATTACACAGTATCTGAAGATCTAAAGTTTTTGCTTCAAATAGAAAACAAACAGCAACAACAAAACACCCTTGTCCGTTTTGCATGACCAACTTTCAACTCCCAACTTTCAAAAAACTGATCATTATTCTTTAGAATCTTTATGCAGATTATCTGATATGATGGTGCAAAATTATAAAAAGCAAAAATTTTCGCAGTGTTGTTCAACCTCCTTTATTAACAGGGGAAAAAAATAAAAAATAATAGAGCTTGTAAATATTCCCAGTCTACATATACTTTTAGGTATTATAGAAATTAAAAATTTAAAGGAGATTGAAAAAAACTTGTTTGAAAACAAGGAGTGTGAGTTACAGTTACAAGAAGAAGAAGAAATGTGAAATCATCACTAGAAAATTTTTTTATAGTGTTTAGAATGATGGCGCATTCATTAAATGTTCCAACGACGACCTTAATATTTTGGAAAGTAAAAGTAAAAAATTGACACGGCAAGTATTCTTCTGGATAAGTCCATACCCAGTGGACACGGAATTTTTATGTTTTTAAGTAAATTTTCTTCTTGAAGAATATTTACTTAAAAACAAATATTCTATAAATAATCTTCACCTCGCCCCTCCTTTTATACTTTTGTCTTTACTGCCACGCATTACACTTTAGTTTGATCATATGTGATATATTAATATATAACTTCAGGGGTAGATACTGGTATTTTTGGAATTTAGTTTGAGTAAATTTGAGCAATTTTGCACTCCTGATTCTATTAAGCGCAATTTTTTGACAAAATATTAGTTAGAACCTCTTTAACTTAAATACCAAAAAAAAAAAATTTGATCTTCAATAGAGCCCAAAGCCTGAATTTATTTCCTAAACATTATAATAAAATCTCTATAATACAAATATATTGAAACTTATATTTATAGCTATATAAAGTAAAGTTTATATAACAAGCTTTAATATTATGCATTACAAAAATCTTCATTGAAACTATCTAATTAAATATAGCCTTTTCTATAAAAATCGCTAAAACTAAAATTTATGCTTGTTAATAAATTTCCAGAGAATAATTGATTAGTAAGTTGTAAATAGTTATATAATTTATATATAATATGACGTAGTTTATAAAAGTTCATTATTTTAAAATAACAAATCAACAAAGCGTTTAATTGGCAGGATTTGGTTTCGTTTTTAAAAGCGGGCTTAACCGCCTCCTACACAATATCTTGACCTAGCCTTAAACACCTCCTAATTGTTTGTATACATTTAGAAATTCTTTTGATTATACTAAGCAAAGCAATTAAAAAATAGAAGTTATAGTCAAAATGTTTGAATGTTGATGGTTTTTACAAAACCGGTGAAATGCATTAGAAAGATTTGCATATTTTGTAAGGCGTTCAGCTTATTACATTTTTTTTCCCTTTTATAAATGAATTTATATTTGGATTAAATTGAATTTCCAAATTTAAATTGAATTTCCAAATACTTTAAAAATTTGTAATTGAAATAATAAGTATGTAATTAATTTTATTAAGATTGCTTTATTTAAAATATGGAAGTTCAACAGCAGCTGTTCGAAAATCCAGTTGAACTTTTAAGTGCTGAAGAACATCAGGTTTGAAATATTTATAAGTTAAGAAATATATAAATTATTTATTAATTTTTAAATGCATTATGTTTTTATGTCTGTGTATTGTAGTAAAATAATTATCATTATATTTGACTAAGCAATTATTGTTTATGATGAGGATGAAGATAAATATAATAATAATAATAATAATAATAACAACAACAACAACAATAATAATAATAATAATACACCTAAAAACTAATGGTTTAAAGTATTGTAATGTTGCAACATATTCGGTTCACAGAAGAAGGGGTGCTCAAGCAAATTTAGATTTACCCCTTGCTCATTATTTACCAAAATGTTTCCAAATCGCTTATTTTTGATTTAATTGTTGAAAAGTACTTTACCTAGAATAATTTGTTGTAAACTTTTTTAAAATTAACTGTTGCTCAGAAATAAATTTTTATTAAATTTAGTGTCATCTAAGTTTTTTTATTATTTTTTTCTTTAAAAAATAAAAGTTTATTTAATTAATTTACTTAAAAATATTACTAAAGAACAGAAGTTAGGTTATTTATAAGTTTTCATTTCTTTAAATACATGAAGGTATATACTAAGAAAAACTATTTTAAGATTTTAATTAACGCTCAAGTTGCAAATTCTATGCTATTGTTAGTATTTATTGAAAGTTGTTTAAAGTTTTTTAAACATTTAGTAACTTTATTTTATTAGTTTTAATTTTGGTAGTTATTAAATGTTTTAAATACTTTTAATATTTTTAATCAATTTACAAATTTTTGCAAAATTAACATAATAATAATTACGCTTATGTTTTGTATTCAAATTGCTTTAAAGCTTCTTTTAATTTAAACAGATAATTGCGATAAACTTAATGATTAAAAAATATATACATATTTTTTTTGTTAAAAAAATATATTACATTTTTTTAATCATTATATGTAATTAAAAAAAAAATTGTGTTTAATGAATAAGTTACATTTACTATGAACATTGAAGACATTGAAGTCTTAATATAACTATAAGAGAATTCTGGAGATAACTATGAGAGAGTTTTGGAAACACTTTTGTAAAAATATGATTAAAATGTTGTCAAAACCACAAGTTGTATAAAAATTGAATTGAAAATTGACCTTAAGTTCACAATCTGAAGTGATTTTGATGTCTAACACTTTGTTAATCTGTTCAACTAGAATGGCAGGAAGAGTATGACCATTAGATTCAAGAGTAAAATAGAAAAAATTCTTTGCAAAGAATTTTGTCTTATTCTAGGGTGAAGTTATTAGATGGGTCATTCCATATCAAATCAACTAAAAAAAAAAATTATCGGCACCATACCATCTCGGACTTTGCTGATTTATAAATTGTAAAAATTATTATAATTAAATATTAAATATTATAATTATAAAATTAAAATTTATAAAAAAAATATTTATAACTCAAAAATCATGGCTAAAATGTTAAAAAATTTAAGCTTCTATATAAATATTCAATTTCAAAATGGTGTAACACTTTTTGTTAGATTTTTTTGATGCCTCGTACAAAAAAAAGTTTATCTTGAGATGCCTAAATTATATGATTTTGAAATGTTCTATATGCAACAAATTCCATAATACAAAAAATCTGGAAAGGTTTTCTTTTTTAAATCAAATTTATTTGCAGTCAAAGTCTTATAATAATAAATCAAAAAAATATTGAAGTTACACTAAAACCATGAAAATACTTAAATTGCAATAAGAAAAATTAAAACTAAAAGGTAATAAGAATTAACAATCTTCAACATTGAAAATAAGAATTAAAAATCTTTGACAGATAACAAATTAGTTTTCTGGTTTAAAGTTTGCCCAGCAATCTTCATATGCTCTGGTGATCGATTTCACTGATTTTCTATTGTCTTCCTGTAACAGTTGTTGGAATATTAATCATTAACAATAAGTTTGTTGATGGAGCCCAGCAAACATCATATCTAGAAGGCCAATAATATGACCTTGAAGGGTAACATGGATGCATGAAACTAACTTGAAAGTCTTTATTTTCAACATTAATTTCCTAAACTAGATCCATGGATTATCATCTATCAAACATCCAAACACACCAATGCTTATATTAGGCGAAAATTCTTTAATAATCTCATCAGTTTGAAAATTAAAAAGTTTTTGCAGTTGTAAATCTTTTCTCCATTTGACTTCGAATTATCGTGTTTGACTCCTTGGATATGTAATAAAAATTAATTCCTATGATTTCATTTTGACAAAAATTAAACATTGCAGATGTTGTAAGAATATGATTTGTTGTTGTTCAATGAATGCTAGCAATTGAAGTTAGTCTTTTTACAGTCCCACCAATACCATCACAGGGTGATTTACTGTGACTTTTTGCAAAGAAAGACCAGGTACATTTCATAGCAAAATCTTGTTCGTGGTGGCATATATTTACGAAGTGTTCACAGTTCTTGTACTGGCCAGCACACCCATCTGAAAAGTAATGGACCTTTTTATTTGATGAGAAATATTGCTTTTAATATGTTTAATTGTTATCTTTATCACATGAAATACCATATCAACATCATGCAGTAAATCATCTGAGATAAAACTTATTGAATCACATTTGAGGACATTATTTTCTTTATAATAAATTACTGTTGGATGCAATATTGCTTGAATTTTTTTCCAGTGAAAACCTTGTATTTTGTTTTGTACAACAAACTCGTAATTTTCTGAGAAATCACAAAGGACAATGACCTCAGTACTACTTAACTCATTTTTTAATTTTCTTAAAGAAGCAGCTTGACTTTTTGCAATAAACTTACTGTAAGAATGAACAGTAAGTTTTTGTTAATTATTTTGTTAATTAGCTTTATTAATAATTTAAAAAACTTATTTTTTAAATTATTAATAAAGCTACTTGTCATTTCTGTTAGACTTAATAGCTCAGATCGGTCTGTTGTTTTCCATTGTTTGTAATCTATACAATAATCATCATCTTCATCAATATTGTCTTGAGAGTACAACTCATATTCAAGATAATGTACTAATGTATGATCTTCTAGGCACAATGGGCATTGATGTATCATGCAAGTCTTGTTCGCCTTCCTACAAACAAGCATATCAATAAGCTAGTGATAATCCTATGATTTAACTGCACTAATCATTAACTTAACATTTTGATGGTAGATGCACACACCGTATGCGTACCAGATGCTCCAACTGTAATGCACCATTTTGGATGATGTGAGCAAAAGTTAGAAAAACAGCTCTTTTTATCTGGATAACAGGTTTTAAACTTTGCATATAGCTCTTTTAGATTTGAAAGAATCAAACACTTTTGCATTTTCTTTACCAGACATTAGCCTGCTTTTTTCATCATTACAATAAAATTCAATAATTTTATCTACTGTTTCTTGAGCTATTTCCTTTTTCTGCAGCAGTTTGCATGATATCTGCACCATATAATTAGTAACATTAAATTCTTTTTCTATATCTTTGTGAGACCAAGAAATTGGAACCAGGGTTGGTAGTTGAATTTTTTGATTACGATTAGAAATTAACATTTTATCTTTGATTTTTCTAATAAGTATATCCACGCCATTTGCTTTACCTTTAACTTCCTTAGATAATTTATTGAAGGAATTTTCTTTATTTAACTGTTCAGGATCTATATTTAAAGTCCTTGCAATACCTAACTTTACTGTTTTTTGAACATGTTACAATTTATTTTTGCCAAGAGCAACTCTTGAGTGACTATTTACAGCATGCATTTTGAGAGGACTTATGTTCATAGTCGTCAAAGAATAATTAAGATTTTTTTTAACAATTCATTTGTATTAAGTTCATTATCTTCATCTTTATAAATCTGGCTTCAAGTTGGTTTTCTTTGCCCGCCATCCTTAAACGATATCAATTTAATCATATATGAAGGACATATCTTTTCTCTAGGGATTACATTAATACCAATATTATTTAATTTCCCAGCAAGTTGCATATTAATTTCTTTACATCCTCCTAAAAACATGAGTGATAATTACTGCTTCAGTGAGTATTTTGAAAAAATATATATAATTTATAAATAATTACAATAAAGTTTAAAAAAAGTTTCATGGTTAAGTAAAAGTACCTTTTCTTCTTTTTCCATTGTGTGAATTAAATGGATCGTAGCAAGTTATATGGATTGTGGAGTAACATTTTAAATAAACATACTCATGGTGTAGGCAAACCATTGCATTTTCATCAAATTGAATGCCAGAACGAATAATTATCAAGTCTTTTTCCATATCACTAAGATTTGAAACTTTTTTGATATCATGGGATTTTACATATGTTTGTTTGTTACAAATTTCTTTATTTACTATTTTAATTGAACATCTTTCTTTATCATTCATATTGTTATATTATTTTTTAATTCTGTAAGAAACAATTTTAAAATAATTATTGTTTGAAGATTTGAAAATAGAAAATCTTTTAGCCATTAAACATAATGATTGCATAAAATAAAGATCTTTTATGTGAAATGCAAACAAGTTTATATATTAGAACTGTACCTTAGACAGCAAGGTTCTAAAAAGCTTTTTAAAAAATGCAAAAAATTTATGCAAATTATTTTTTTTCATTATTAAGTAACAGTTTTTCTTAATTTTTTAAATAAAACTTTAAATGCAAAAAAGTCTAATTAAAAAAAAAAAAAACCCTTCCAGATTTTTTTGTATTATGGAGTTTGATACATATAGAACATTAGGAAAAAATTTCAGAATTTTATCTTTTAGGCATCTTGAGATAAACATTTTTTTGTACAGGGCATCAAAAAATTTACAAAAAGTGTTACACCATTTTGAAATTTAATTTTTGTATAGAAGCTTGAATTTTTGTGTGTTTTAGCCATCATTTTTAAGTTCCTCACCCTAAAAAGTAGTTAGGTAGAAATTTTGACCACTATTAAACAATTATTTCATAAGTTAAAGCAAATTGTGTCGTGCAATCAGCCTAAAAAATAAATGGCGCTGAAAAAAAAAGTCAAAAAAGAGATTGGGACCAAGTATCAATATCTCTGAAACCGCAAGGAGTCAGACACTAAATTTCGGAAGTTTTTTTTTATTAATTCAAACTTGTATTTTAAAAATCAGCAAAATCTGAGATGGCATGGTGCCAAGCATAAATTGAATTGAGCTGTAATGACCCAGATTAGATCCATGAATTAAAGATGGAATGTTAGGCTAGTTAATGAGGCTGTTATGTTTTCCGAGATTTTTCAAAAGTCTCTGAACCCTAACAGCTGAGATAAAATACTAGGTTTAAGTAACTAAGAATTAGGGAGCATAGCATCATACAGGACCTTTTTACATTGACTAATTACAATAATAAAAGTACATTTGTGCTCAAGGGAGATGTTTAAAATTAATGAAAAAAATCGTTACAGTTTAATATAGCAACTGCACAAGAAGGTGAAAAACATGGATATGTATGAAAATAAAACATATGTTTATATTCATATTTATTCATATTATGCATACATAATATGGATATATATGTATAGATATATATCCATACTTATATTACATAGGTATTAGTGGTGGCTTATGGGTAGCTCTTAAAATAACATTTTTTGAAAATACCTGCTGACACCCCCTAAATGTGTTCTATTTAATAAAATAATTCTGGATTTGAAAAATTTTTGAATAAAAAATGTTTTTAAGGGTGCCACAAAACCCTTAAACATCAAACAGGGCCCTAATATTATCAAAAAAAATAGTTTTTTAAAAGTATGTCTCACTGGGTCTCAAAAGAAGTTAAATTATACAAAAAAGTCAAAAATAATTATCATTTTATAAAAAAATTATTATTTTACATTTTAGTGAACTGAAAATGACGTTTTTTTTAACTAAAAACAAAAAATAGAGACCTTAACAAGATTTTTTAATTCTTTTTTTTTTTTTAATGTTTTTTTATAAAATAATATTTATTTTCAAAATATTTATATAATTTCCCTTCTTGTATGTATGTATGTATGTATGTATGTATGTATGTATGTATGTATGTATGTATGTATGTATGTATGTATGTATGTATGTATGTATGTATGTATGTATGTATGCATGTATGTATGTATGTATGTATGTATGTATGTATGTATGTATGTATGTATGTATGTATGTATGTATGTATGTATGTATGTATGTATGTATGTATGTATGTATGTATGTATGTATTTATGTATGTATGTATGTATGTATATATGTATGTATGTATGTATGTATGTATGTATGTATGTATGTATGTATGTATGTATGTATGTATGTATGTATGTATGTATGTGTGTGTGTATATATTGTAACATTCAGTTATTTTAAGCATAGCAAAGTAAAATAGTTAATTGTTTATTTTTAAGGCTGTTGAGGCATTTTTTGCTAAAGTTGGTAATGTAGATGGTTATGGGGAAAGATTTTCTATAACAAAAGAAGAAGCTATTAAGTATCTGATGGCACGCAAATTTGATGTTGACCGTGCTCTTTCCTTATTTTTTTCATCAAGGGTAATGTTATTTTAATTTTTTAAATAGGAATTTATGTAAGTTGTTATAAAATCTTATAATGGTTTTAAAAATAAAAAGTTTTAGGTTTAAAATAAATTAAAATTAATCATGTTCTGTATATAAAAAGAGTTGTTTTATATAGTTTTTTTATATAATTTTATATACTTTATATAAAATATGAATGAGTAAGGAATTAATTAGTTAATATAAAAATAAAGTTTATAGAGGATATTAAAAAGTTTTAGTTAAGTAAATTATAAAAATAAGTTATTAAAAAACTACTTAATTTTTTTTATTTTAATTTAATTTTAATTAATAAAATTATTAATTAAAAAAAGTATTGCTATAACTCATCTTTGTTGTTTTATTTTTATTAAAAGTTTTTAAAATGGTAGTAATAGCATGAAATATATAACAAATTGTTTAAAAATAAGAACATCAAGTTCCAGTTTTAAATAATTAAATTTATATATAATATTAGATAAATAAATTTTAGTGAAAAATATAAATAGTCTAGTTTAGATATATTTATTCCATCTTATATTTTTGTTTCATAAAAAGAATGCAAATCAATATCACTTTGTTATTATTGTTTTTGTAAATTACTTTATCATTTATTAAAAAAAAAAAATGGCTGAATAAAAGTTGCTCAAAAAATATTTGTACAAGAAAGTTCTTTTGTTACACATTATCTCAAACGTGGCATCCTTGTATCATGTTGTTGTATAATGTTTTTAAAATACAAAATTATTTTTTCAGTTTGTTTCTTGAACAACAAGTAACAAAAAACATCTTGATTATAATGCATCCTCCTTTTTGCCTAATAACTTAGTCAGGAGTTTTATGTGAATTTAAGAAAAGAAAATAACCAAGTTTTTAACCGTGTTTTTAAACAAGTTTATCTTTAAGTTATTTTTGAGTATCGTTAAATATTTATATTTTTATAATTAATATTGTTGAATATTTAAATATTTTGATTTTTTTTTTCTTCAGTTTTTTGATTTATTAATAAAATAATTAAAAATTATGGTAATTGCAAAAATTAGAATATAAATAAAATAGAAAACTAAAAACTAAATAAAAAAATAAATTTGAAAATTCAAAAAAATATTTTTTAATTTAAAATATTTTTGTGCTTTAGTTAATGCAAATTTTAATGGCACAATTTAATAACAAAAAATGTTCATGTTTTTACATATCCTTTTTTTCTTTTTCGATCATATAACTATGTAGCTTAAATCTTGACATGTAATGAGAAACAAGTTTGTAAACGAAAGTTCTGTGATAATGTGCCCAACCAATGATAATGTGCCCAAGCAATTATTTCGCTTCCTTCATCTTGCTTTCTGATTCATATAATTTGCAATCTTTTAAGTCATCTGTCAATCGTTATCTTGCTCTACAACCTTCATCTTTTCACTTCCAGTAACTTTTAACACTAATTAGTGGTTGCTTGCAGCCTTGTTGGAAGCAAAGATGTTAAAAAAAAAATTTGCTTGGGCTAAAAATATACATCAATATAATAATTAATATAATATAATAATTTTGCATGAGAAGACTACAACTCTCTCTAAACCTCTCTTAATGCTGAACTGATATTTTTCTGAACAAAAAACACAAATCAAATTCAAATGTGTGTAATACACATCTGCTGGTCATGAGTATGTTATTTTTGAGATTTAAAATAAATTATCTTAATTTTTTTTTTGCATTTTCAGCATCTTATTTTTCTAGACTCTTCGACAACAATTTGAACTAGAGAATTTTGATATTAATAAAGATCCATTAAATAAGGAGCTATTATCAGGAAAGTTTACTGTGTTGGTAAGTTTATTATTGTTTTTTATTTCTAATTCTAAAATGTAACTTTTCACTTGAACTTTTTTTTCCTGCGTAAAAATACTCTAATTTTATTAATTTTTAATACTCTAATTTTATTAATTTTTAATACTCTAATTTTATTAATTTTTAATACTCTAATTTTATTAATTTTTAATACTCTAATTTTATTAATTTTTAATACTCTAATTTTATTAATTTTTAATACTCTAATTTTATTAATTTTTAATACTCTAATTTTATTAATTTTTAATACTCTAATTTTATTAATTAATATCTGGTACTCTGATTAATTTTTCTTTTATTTTTCTTACTTCTACAATTTACAGCTTTTTAAGTCATTTGCCAATTGTTTTTTAATTATCATCTTTATTTGTTTGTAAATTTGAACTTAAATAGCAGTTAAAGCCTTGTTGGAAAGGTTTTTATTGTTGGAAAGGTTTTTATTGGAGAAAAAGTAGGGCAAATTGTTGAAAAGGTCTTTTGAACAAATAAAAAAGTAACAAGTTGATTTTAATGTTTCTATTATTTTGCAGAATGGCAGATGTGCTGATAACTCTAAAGTTTGCTTGTTTTATGCTCATAAGCATTTCCCAAAACTAGTTGACCATATTACTGTGATAAGATCAATTGTATTTCAGCTTGACTGTATTCTAAAAAGGTAATTTTTTATTAATTTTTTTTTAATAATGGTGAAAATTTTAACTGAAGGAGTTGGAAAGCAAAAATGTTAAAATTTTTTGTGTATTTTAAGGTACCAATATTATTGTTTTTCCAGATATTTGAGAAATAAAATGATTAACTACAGTACTCTTATTTTTTTAGCTTATAATTTATTAATTTAAATGAAAATAAGTTGAAAGTGTAGCATGAGTTATTTATTATTAAACAAAAACAAAAAAGAATTAATAATGCACAGATAAAATTTTAAAATAAATTAATAATGGAAGAACATGCAGCTAAAAGTCTTAATCAATAATGCAAGTGTTAAGCTATCCCTAGCAATGGAATCAAACATCCAGTCTGCAAAATTGAAATAACACCTAATTAATACATCTTTAAATCTAGCCCATTTTAAAAATGGTCAGGTATAAATTTTTAATCATTTCCTTCCACTAAAACTTAATAGAAAAATGAGCCAAAATAGAGAATTTTTAGTTTAAATTTAAAAATGGCATAAATGGCATTCATTATGCTTTAAAAAATCTAAAAACACATTTTCATTAAAATTGCCTAACACCTCATCTTTCATTTTAAGATATTTTTGAATTCATAAGACAACTCTGAGAGTTATTAAAACTGTAACTCACAGTAACAAAAAATTTGTCTATTTTTATAATATTATATTTCTATAATGATATTATCAAAAAATTTGAATATTAAAAATTTAAAAATGAACATAAAAAATTTTGGATTATGTTTGCAAAAATAAGGGAATAGGTACTATTGGTTAAACTTTGAAGAAAATCTTATTAGATGGGTTAAATAGGTGTTCTTTTTTTTACCTGGAGTTACCCATACATATAGTTTAGTCATTTGCGATAAATTGAACCTTTCTGGATGAAAGGCTCAATTTATCATATTGGGAAAATTTATGGAAAAACAAGGCTATAAATTTAAGACTGCAAAAATAGTAATAGTCAAAACTTAACCTGTTACATCATTTTTAAGCAATTTTCTAAAACAAAAAATTATCTTTTACAAAGTAGGTGAAGAATTAGTTGACTAATTTAATAGCCAATTTTTGACAGAAATTTTGATAGAAATGACTGAAAATGGGTGTCCTTTTTTTTACCTGGAGTTACCCATACATATAGTTTAGTGCAGACAAAACTTATATGTGACAGCATTGTTTCAAATTAAAATTACCTAATTCTTGTTGCTATCTTTTTTCTTCTAATTTTTTAAAATATAAAATTTTTTTTTTTTTAATTATCGTCGCTTCCAACAAGGCTGCAAGCAACCACTAATTAGTGTTGGAAGTTACTGGAAGAGAAAAGATGAAGATTGTAGAGCAAGATAACGATTGACAGGCGACTTGAAAGATTGCAAATTATATGAATCAGGAAAGCAAGATAAAGGAAGCGAATTCCAAAGAACTGATGGTCGAGGAAAAAAAACTAGACGAATAAGAGTTTTTGAAGCACTTAGGAACAGTAACAGAAAATGGATGAGACTTAATTGAATGACGAGTAACACGAGAATGAATTTTAGTAGATGGCACAAGAGACGCTAGCTCTTTCGAGCAGTGCCTATTATAGTATTTGTAGAAAAGAGAAAGAGAAGCAACATTACGACCATGTGACAGAGGTTAAAGTTTGGCTGCAAGAGCAGGTCCAACTATGTTTACAATGCGTTTTTGCACCTTGTCTAAAAGAGAAAAGGGCAACATTTGAAGATCCGTCCCAGATATGGCAACAATATTCCATACAAAGCTGGATTTGAGATTTATAGAAATAGAGAATAGAATGCAGAGTAAGAAAGTGGCGAGCTTAATAAAGAGAAGCAACTTTCGTTTACTGTATCTGTCCCTGCATCCTTAAAACTTTTATTCATCTAGTTTTTTTCCTCGCACTTCAATCCTTTGGAACTCTCTCCCATCTTCATGTTTTCCTGACTCATACAACCTTCAACTTTTCAAGTCTTCTGTCAACCGTTTCCTTGCTCTATAACTCTGTTCTTTTTTTTCCTAGTAACTCCCAACTTAATAGTGGTTGCTTGCAGCCTTGTTGGGAGTGAATGCAAATAAAATAAAAATAAAAAAAAAACTTTAGCAGATGCTAATTTTGCAACGGATATGATATAAGGTTTCCAAGAAATATCAGAAGTAAGAGTTAATCCTAGAAGATGAAGGGTAGGAGACTCATCGAGTACATTACCGTTCAAAAATATAGGAAAGTCTAAACTATTGCGATAATGATTGGCCGAAAAAAATTGAGTTTTATCTGAATTAAAATTCAGCAGCCACTGTGAGCCCCATGCTGTAGCAGAAGTGAGATCCTTTTCAAGCTCAGATGCCCCCTGCAAGCAATCGGAGGGAATTGGCTTCTTATCGTGACAAGAATAAATGGTAGTATCATCAGCGAACAATGCCACCTTAGATGTGAGAATATCTGGAAGATCGTTAATGTAAATTAAAAAGAGTATAGGGCCAAGGATTGAACCTTGGGGAACCCCTGAGGTTACAGAATAAGAAGAAGAGTGCTGTCCATCAAGGACAACTTTTATACTACGAATGGAAAGGAAGGGTTCAATAATCTTAAAGGTGTTTCCAGATACACCATAAGAAGAAAGCTTATGGAGGAGACCAGCATGCCAAACTTTATCAAACGCTTTAGAAATGTCAAGAGCAATGGCCTTAACCTCTCCACCTTTATCTAATGCGCGATAAAACCTATCGGTTATTACTGATAGCAAATCAGCAGTAGAACGAGAAGATCGAAATCCATATTGATGATCAGAAAGTAGGTGATGAGATTCGAGATGAGAGATTAAGTGTTAGTTAATTAAAGATTCAAAAACTTTGCTTATGATAGGAAGAAGACTAATGGGACGGTAGTTAGACGAATCGGATCGCTCTCCAGAATTTTTAACAATAGGGATAACAGAAGCTGCTTTCCAGCAGGCCGCAAAACAAGACTTCGATAAGCACTTGCTAAATAGTTTCGAAAGGATACACAACAGCTCCGGGGAACACTTCTGCAAGACTATAACAGGTATGTTGTCCGGGCCGCCTTCATTTACCTTCTCTACTCAACATAAGTTGAGAAGAGAAGGTAAATGATTCGGGTTGTCTGGAAAGCGAGTTGGAAAGTTGACTATTTGAGTTAGGGATTGAGAAAGACAACAGTTGTCGGCCTTAATGCCTGCAGAGTCACTGACACTAGAGCCAAGCCATTCAGTGTGATGAACATTAAAGCCACCGACAACAACAATATTGGCTGATGGATAAAGAATGAGGGCTTGGTCAATATAATCAGAAATAATATCAAGAAGAATGCAGTCTTGAGATGAGGGAGAGCGATATAGAACAAAGAGAAAGGTAATAGAGTGAAGTGGTGCTAAACGAAAGCACATAAAAGAGTAGTCTGTGGATTCAAACCTAGTTTCCTGACAAATGGGTAAATTCTTACGAATGTAAATGCCCAGGCCAAGCTTGTGACTATTGGAGTCTTTATGAATTAAAGGAAGATAACCATCAACACTAAGATCACAAGATGAGACAGCTGAACTCAAATTAGTCTCACAAAGAGCAAGTAGGTCTGGTGAACTTTGCATAAGTTCACCAGACCTACTTGAGATAAGACTCAATAGAAGATAAGTTACTTCGAAGACCACGAATATTAGTGAATGATAGGTTTAGCAAACTTGGTGATGACTGCGGTTTTTTGTGTTTTATAGTTTTTGTTACTTTTTTTTTAAATTTGTTAAAGAACTTGACTCGAAACATAGATAGTACTCAGTACACTGCTTTATAGCTCAAGCAATTGCCTCATTTCCACTAATAAACCCTAAGCCGTAACAAAGGGCTACAATGTGGCCTTGGCAATGCACACCAAAAGTACAAACAGGGACACCATCCATGCGCAACATGGCATTGTTAGTACTCTAATAGTTTTCAGCTGTTGATGGAATCAGCCTCTCTGAGAGCTACCACAGAGTTTGGGAAACCTGACTACCAGCCGACCTCAGAACCATAAAACTGAGTTTTAGAGCTGTACCCTCATTTAGAGATAATAGAATGAGTTGCCTAAACAGAGAATATATGAAGTTTTTTTGTGGTCGCTTATTTGTGGTAGTATATTAGTTTGATTTTGCTTTAATCAACATAAAAACGTTAAAATTATCAGTTATATCTGTTTTTTAAAGTTGTCACTAGTATTTTAGCAATTGTTTTACTTAGTTGTTCCATTTTTTTCATTGTTTCTAACTAAAATATTAGAAACAGGTAGAAAAAAAACCTTTTTTGTTTTGTTAACAGCTTTTATTGATGTTGTAGTCAAAATGTTGTTCCTGGGTGTGTTTCTAAGTAGTACATTCTTAGTTTAATTTAGTATTTTTTTAGTTTAATTCAAGTATATGGAAAAATATTTCTAAACAGTTTAAGTGTCTATTTTCCTTTTGTTTTTTCTTTTTTTTTGTTATTCTTTTAATTTATTAGTTATGATGTTCAAAGAAATGGAATTTCATTTGTTTATAATATGGAATCTTCGACTTTTCAAAATTTTGATTTGGAACTCGCTAGGAAAGTCCTTCATCTGTTAAAGGTAATTTCAATATTATGTCTCAGTAGTTTTCTTTGTATTCAGTAAAAATAATGAAATTAAAATAAGTATATAAAAAAATGAAATGTTTATATGTTCATTATACAACATGGTATTTAATAAATTTGTTATATACACATCCTAGTCATGCATTAAACTGATCTTATATTAGGGCACGTGAAATTATTCAAGTGTGGTGTAGGCAAATAATCTAGGAGAATTTTTATAATTCAGTTACAAAATCAAATTCAATTGTGGTTTTGGGTAAAAGGAGCTCTTAAACCTTGGGTAAAAGGAGTTCTTAAAGCTTGGATCTTTCAAGTAGTAGTATTAGGAAAAAAAAATTTACAGTTCTGATTTTAAAACAGGTTAATGCCAAAAAAAAAAGGTATCTAGTTGTAAAATTTTGTTTCAATTTTATTCCATATCATATTTAAATTGGCATCCTGGAAACTCATTTAAACTACACAAGAGAGGAACCATGCTTTAAACTTAAAAAAGAAGTTTTTATCTTATGTCATATAAATCTAAAAAAAATTGAAAAAACATTTTTAATTTAAATTAATTTTTTTTTTTTCTTTATCTTATATCATATAAATCTATTTTAAAAGTATTTTGAAATTTATAGCACTTACGCTATTGTATTAATTTCGAAACAGTTGGTGTTAAAATATACCAACTAATTAATGGGTGCTTGGCAGATGAGGGTGGGTGCTTGTTGGATGCATTGGTTTTAAGTAAGGATGAAATAATGAACAAATGTGATATGATTATGGGTATAGATTTAATAAAAATGTGTGATTAAAATTGGCACTGGAAAATTGAAATTCTGAAATTCCTTGATTAAGTTATAATTGATACCCCATATTGCTACAAGCGAAATAAATTGGTGTTGAAAAGTAGATTGTAAGTTTGAAATGGGAAAACAAATCCAACATGAAAAACAAAACAAGTCAGTATAATGTACCTGATCAACATTGTGAGGATTTCAACAATGAAATAAACAAATGTATTAAGGAAGGCAGAATTTAAAACAAAAATTCATTTCAAATTTAAACTTCACAATTTAATTTTTTTCACTTTTTAACAATTTACTTCAAATTTAAAACAAAAATTCAAAACTTCAAAACAGGTATCTACAAAAAAGGCATCTACAAAATGTCGATTTGCATACGCGTTCAGCAGTTTTAAGTTATACTAAAACATAATTGTTTTGCATTATTCAAGATAATAAAAAGAAGATAAGACCTGAGCTTGATTATCACAAGTTTAATACGTGTGTAAAACCCATCACATTAGATGTAGATGTCATAAACGATGCAATAAGAGATTTGAGACTCATGAGTGAAAATAGTAATGACTAGGTGGTGGGTTTCAGACAAGCATACCTACAAATTTATGTTCATAAAAGGTAATGGCTTTATCAAGCTATCATTTATAAAAGCCAACAATATCTGCCTATATTTTTAGGCTCAGTGCAATAATATGTTCTTGCACTCTCAAAAATTCTGCACTTGCAAACTCAACAAGAGGATACATTAATGACCTTCTAGCAACTAATAGAAATGGAAGAAAGATGGTGGTACATATAAAATATGGGATCTTTACACAGAAACACCTGAATATTTTGGTGAAAATACAGTTAGTGCTTTAAGATTAGAAGTTACAGTAAATTTAATAACAAAAAAAATGTTTTGGAAGAGAACGCGCAAGATTCACATTGTTAAAACTTTGCTTACCAAAAGAGATATATTCTCATTGTGCAGTAATCTGGTTGCTAATCTACCAGTTGCTGGATGATGACACTCAGCTATGCAGCTATGTAAAAAGGTGTACAAATGATGTAGGATGGGATAAACCTATTATGAACAAGTATAGTAATAAAATGACTATATCTACAACTACAAAGTTGTAGATAAAGCTTTAAAATGCGATTCAGCAAAAGGTGTTTGGAATGTCAAATCAAATGCATCTTTAACTGTATGGTGTGATGCAAGTTTGCTAGTAAAAGGAGTAGTGATAATGCAAGGTGACTAAAAATTTGATGATGCGACATAGCACAAATTTATATTAACTTCAGTATTTTAAAATTCTTATTAATTACAGCATTGTTTCAATTTTGAAACAATGGTTTATTGTTTATTATTAATTTCCATTGCACTTGCCTATAATAATTCTTGCAAGTGATTTTAAAATAATATATAATGCCAATACAGAAAATTTATTTCATTATTTTATAGGTACATCACACAAAATTATTTGGTTTACTTCTGAAAATCAAATAGATCATAATAACATTTTGCAAAAGTTAATGAAAACTTGTTTGAAAATAAATATTTTAGGATGGATATCCAGCTCGCTTGAAGCATATTCATGTAGTGTCCTCACTTCTTTGGTTTCGTGCTTCTTTTTTATTTTTATCAAGTTGGCTCAAAGAAAAAATTCGTGACAGGGTATGTTTTTCTTTTTTTGTTTAGTTTATGATTATAAAAAAAGTTTGATGCTGATGACTGTTTGACTAATCTGTGATTTGATAATTATCTATATTTTAATTTCAAAAAAAAAAAAAAAAGGATTTTTTGTTGGTTTTATATTTATATTTTATATTTATTATTTTCTATCATCATGATCGGTTAGAGCCTGATAAACTGAAAGTTTGTAGTTCGATTCCTGCTATGACCATATTATGTTAAATCTTGTATTTTATCTCAACACCTTGCATATTAATCATGATTGTCCCTTAGAGCCTGAGTTTATCATTTCTATCTCATGCGTGATGCCTATATTATCATTATTTTATTACTATATGCTTTACTATAGTGTTTTTGTTTTGTTCTAAACATATGTTCAAAATATCTTTTTAATTTTTTTATCTTTTCTCTTTTCCTAAATTTTTATTATTTCATTTGATCTTGATAGCTCAGTCTAGTAATTTGATGCATATTTTTGCATTTTTAAAAATTATTTATGTTGGGACATAAATGATTTAAAAAGGGAAATATAACTATTTTTTGTGCTAGTCTAATATACGCATCTATTACAATTATATATATTTTTGGCTTATTATTTTTATTATTTATTCATATTTTTAAGTTAAATAATGATATTTTCTTATGATATTGTTGTAATATTTGCTTTTATTATCATTATTGTGTATCGCTTATATAATTGGTTATTTGACTTATTAATTTTAAGTTATCATTAGTTATAATGATGTTTGGTAATATTTTCAAAATACTTTAATACTAGGGTTTGAATTTTAATGTAAACAACTGTTATTTTTTGGGGAATATTGTACAAAATCTTTTTAAAAAAAATGCTTTTATATATATTTTTTATTTTCAATCTTTAAGGTGATACTTGTTAAAGATTTGAATGAACTGCATCACCATGTACCTCAATCTATTCTTCCTAAAGACATGAATGGAAATTCAGATCATAACCACGCCCAATGGATTCTGGAATGTATAAAATCATTTGCCGTTCCGTATGGAGTTATTTGGGCTTAAGTTTTTTTATTTTTTTAAATTTATTCCATTATTTTCTTAGTTAGACCATTGAATAACTAAAACATATTTGAGTTATCCAAATTTATGCTTCTTTTTTTTGTTATTTTGTTTAACTTAATGGTTTTACTAATCACATTTATAATTTTTATTACAACCCTAATTTATAATTGCTATCGAAATCCTAATTTATAATTGCAATAGGAATTCTAATTTATAATTGTAATAACAATCCTAATTCGCTACAATTTTTTATATTCAGACAATCTGTTACAATAGAAGATAAACCAGATGACATACAATCTTATGCAAAAGAAGAGTTTAATAATGCAGAAAGCAATTATACTCCTAATGAAGTTTACGGTTCTAAAAATAGTGAATATCAAATAGTAGATGTAGAACCTCCTAACAAACCTTTGCCACCTCCACCTGAAAACCCATTTACTATTGATGAACTTTTAGAACATATGGCAAATGTAGGAAGAAAAGGAATTCAAAAAGAATATGACGAGTTGCGTTCTCTTCCTCCTTGTGGTTCATTTGAATCAACTTTGTAAGTAGTTTTGTATTATTTAAAACACTGGTTTATATGCAAACACTGACATGACTGTGAACCTGTTTGCGGAAATACATAAATTATGTATATTTTACACCTATTTTTTAATCCCTATTTCAGTATGATATTTTTAGTAATGTCAATTTAAATCAGTATTAAATACATATGCATTTTATTTTACTAGCAGTGTTAATAATAAGGGTGTTAAATGAGTTAAAAGAGGGCGCCCCTGTATATATAAAACATGTATTCAAATTTATTATTTGTAGACTGTTAATCACAATACTGGTAATTACCCTTTTGCTATTGTTTACAACATGATAATGTACTCAGAGTTTTTCATGTGTTCCTACAATAATCTGGCAAACAGTATAAAGTTTTTTATTCTTTGTAATGAAGTTAATTAATTTAGAACTTTTAACTTATTTTCAATTTTGTCATAATTTTTTTAATGATTGGTTTATCAGCACGCATATCTATCAAAGTTTATGCTTTTTAAACAAAAACTTCATTTTGTTATATGTTCTTCTGTTTGTTATTACTGCATTTTGTTGCTATATTGCACTTTGTCAATCAATCAAAGTTGAGTTTGTAGCTTGTAGCAAGATGTTTTAGCAAGATTTATGAGTAATTTGATCTGGCAATTATAGCTTGCTTGCAGAAAATATTTTAATGTATATTTACTGCACATATGCATAAATATAACATAAATTGCAACAAGCAGCAGGCGAATGGGTTTAGAGATGCAACAGTTTTGTAGCAACCATACTGTTATAGATCATACAGTAATTATATGTATAACTTATATCAGTGGAACCAAAAATGTAAGATAAGTTTTATAGTTCTACAGCAGCTTGTATAAGAAAAGTAAGAACCTGTACCAATAGTTTTTCTAATTCCTGTGCCAACTCGTGACTGCAACTTTGATGTCTTTGAACACACCAAACTTATTGTTTTCTTAATAATTTTACCTTTATTGTTTCTATTCTAACTAAAAATACTTTTAGCTATTTTTTAAATTACTTTATTTTTTTTTTGCTGATGATAATATTATCTGTTTATTTTTGATTTAAAAATGATTTTATATATATATATATATATATATAAAATCAATATAGTCCTTGTGATGAATAAAAACTGCGCGACGCATAAGCACGACGTGATTTTTAACGTCTTTAAATTCTTTTTATTTGTTTTTCATATTTATCGACATCAACTGCACCAATTTACTTAATCACCGCAAAACTACTTTAAATCATTTATGTAGAAATGTTATTATTTAAAAATGTTTTGGAATGTTTCGTTTTTTAAAATGTAAAAACATTTGTTTATTTTCTCAACGTTTGACACGTTTTGTCTATACTAAACGAATAAAAAACATAACTAAACATTTAAAAAAGATTATAAATGCTAATATTTGATTTTTTTTTCTCAAATATGTAATTTAAATTTTTTCAAATAATTATTTTTTCTTTTTAAAAAGTCAGCAAGTAATAAACTGGAAATTTTAATATTGTGCGGTTAAAAACTGTGCAATAGCTAATATTTTTACCAGCGATTTTATATAATATTTATTTATTTATTTTTATTTATTTTCATAAAGCGGTTGATAAGCACAATCATTCGTATTACTAAAAAACTTTAACGACCGTTTTGAACAGATTTTTAATGTTTACAAGGAATTTTATTTCTAGTAAAATAAAATAAAATAAAATGTTAGAATAAAAATCTTTGCGCAAATAAAATATTTTTAATTGCGCTTACCAATTTTTAAAATGTTTCCTCGAAATTACTCTTAAATACTTTAAATACGTCAAACAGTTAATAAATATTTTTAATTCTATGGAATAATTTTAAAACCTAACAAACCCCCGTAAAATAATTATTTAAGTTAAAAATCTAAAACATAAAAGAAAGTATTTTTGTCCAATTTTATTGACAACTTTGCTATTGCTGAATATTTTTATTAAAATGTTAGCTTAAAAAGATTAAAACTTTTTTTTTAATCTGAATTTTTTCTACTTGTAAATAATGAGCATATTTAATTTTTTTGTAATTCAAACTTTTATATCAACTGCGTGCGGATTTTAAAATACTTTATTAAATGTTAAAATAATCGTAAATTACTTCATTAAAATTCCGCTCAAAAATATCTTTAAATATACTCAAACAAAAAATTTTTTGCTCGACATAAATAGCCATAGCTACATGCAAAATCACTCTTGGACGACGTAAAATTCACATCACCCAACGCTTTATCGCAAGGCCTGATATATATATATATATATTTATATATATATATATATATATATATATATATATATATATATATATATATATATATATATATATATATATATATATATATATATATATATATATATATATATATATATATATATATATATGTATGTATGTATAAATTGAATGAAAATAACAATGTGTAAAGCAATTATGGTTAATTGGTTAAAATTAAATGAGCATTAATAATTGTAATGAGTATTAATAATTGTAAAGAGCATTAATGGTAATGGTTATGGTAATGGTACATTGGTAATTGTACAATGGTGCAATGGTTATGGTACAATGGTACGGTATGGTATGGTAATGGTACAATGGTTATGGTAATGGTACAATTGTAATGAGCATTAGTAATTGTAAAAAACATTGTAATTAATTGTATTTATTTTAATTAATTGTAAATAATAGTATGTATGTAATTTCGTACTTATGGTAAATCATAATGTACCGTGTATACTGCATTTTGTATAGTTATAGTATATCATTACTCCAGTTTCCAATTGCTAAAGTCATTTCTCAATTAAACTCTTCTATGGATGTGGTCCAGACAATATTCTTGTCATAATCTACATAATAGTGTGCCAGACGACATTCTTGTCATAATCTACATGTTAGTGTGCCTGATGGCACTTCATAATTCTTAAAGGTTCAAAAATTTTTTAGTAAGAACCTATATCATTTAAAGTGTTATGCTAGACACTTAAAAAACATATCTAACACACGCAACAAAGAAATGAGTTGTCAACTCATTTTTGTTTATTTTTCTTTACCAACTGTTAATAAAGAACAATTTTTTTTTAATGTGAAAAATGTTTTCATTAACAAGCAAGGTAATTCATTCAAAAGTTCAAAATAAACTTTATTTTTAAATTGACATCTATCGTTTTCTAGTTTAGAATTTTATTTGCTATTATTTTGTTGTTGTTTTATTTTATTTTTGTTATTCAAAAACTCTTTATTTACGATTTAACTGCTGTTTATCTTAAGAAAGTTACAAAATTTTTACTTAATAATAAATTGATAAAAATATTTTTGGTGAACTAAATTTGTTGGCAATGTACACTGAAAATTTGTTGGCAATGTACACTGAAAATAACTGCATAAAAAAATCAAAGTAAAGCTTGCAATGAAACAAGGTTTTATTTTCGTATAACATAAAAGTGGATTATAACATTTACATAAGTTTTTTTTTTTAATTTACAAAGTTCAAAAGTTCAACAAATGTAAATATAAATTATTTTTTTTATTTATGAAATACTAAAGTTACTAGATATTTAAATTTGCCCTTTAAATTTACTTGCCACAGCACACTTGCCACTCTCTTACAATCAATTGTTGCTTATTTAAAATAATTTTAAAACAGCATATTTCAACAAAAGGTTTTTTATGTTTATTCTATTTGACAGAAATTCAGCGAGTCGAGCAAGTTGCTTATCTAAAAACTGGAAATTTGACAAAAATGAGAATAAGTTTTCAAAATATTTTTTGGTGGTAATGTATGAAAGAATTGCTGGTCCATCTTGTACACTTTTTTTTTTTGCAACTAAGGAGTGACCTTTAATCCTAAAGTACCCATTAATCAGCCCTGGAAATAACGGGCGATCAACCATCAATGATTGTCTATTTTTTTAAAAATTGATGCTTTGATCTCCCAATATCAATTCTGGCAGATCAATCTTAATTGGTAAGAATGCAAGGCAAACTTAAAAATTTAAATAACTTCAAAAACAGAAAGTTGAAATTATTAAGTTAGCAACTAAATGTTTTTGATTATTGGAATAAACATTGTTTTGAAACCATAACAATTTTCAGTTAATAGTATAAAAAAAGTACAAAAGTAATATTGAATAAGCAAAAATACCGAATGATAAAAATACAGAATGATAAAAATAGCGAATATTTTAGATTGACAGTAAAACATAGTTAGCGATCTTTTTTTTTTTTTTTTTTTTTTTGACTATAAAGTTAGAAAAAAATAAACTAATCAGTTAATTAAATGTTAATGAATTTTTATGAATTGAATTTTTTGAATTTAAAAACTAAAAAAGGATAAAAAATATATGGTTGCCAGATTGCTTGTCTAAACATCATGCTTTAAAAGTACACAAAATTTGATTTTTTGTTTATTCGATTTTTATTTTTATCCAAACCTACGGTATTTTTAAAAATTTTTCGTATTATAAATCTTTATCTAGTAAAGTACCTAAAAATGTTAATGTAATTCTTCCTCTGGTTCTGTGTGTGTGTGTGTCAAAAAAATTTGTGTTAATTATATTTATATGTGTGAATTATATTACAGTATTTTATATTTAGGCACACTGCAAATTTACAAAAGAATCGTTACAACAACATTCTTGCATTTGAAGAAACAAGAGTTTGTCTTCAACAAATAAATGGTGATCCGGTAACTTCTTAAAAACATTAATTAGACAAATAAAATAAGGGCATGCTGGGCAATTAAAATACCTTAAGACTTTCACTGTTCATATTATACTGGAGTTTTTATATGTCGTTATTTTTTGTTTAAGTTTATGAAAAGTTAAAAAAAATAAGTTGAATAAGTTTATTGAGGGATTCAATTATAACTGAAATTAATGTCTTTTTATAATTCTCAAGTTTTCCAATACACTAAAATTGCTCAGTTTACATGGAACGTTGAGTAACTAAATGTTTTATCCTGCAGTACTGTTTTCAGAATTGTTTTGTTTGTGTATTTATCAGTTTTACATTTGAACTTTAAAAAATTAAAAAAAAAAAAAAAAAAAAAAAAAAAAATTGAAATGACTGGCATATTTTCTAACCAATTTTGCAATTTTCGTCATTATTGACAAAAGTAATTTCAACAATGACAATTCAGAATAATAAAATTTATTCAGATTGTAATTGATAGGATAAATGGTTGAAGAAAATTGAAGTTAAATTTTCAAAAGTTTTTTTATTTAGCATTCTGATTACATAAATGCAAACTACTTGGACTCGCCAACTACCAAAAAGAAATTTATATGCACCCAAGGTAATTTTAACTTGTCGAAAAAATCTATTGAAAGAGTTTGAAATTTTTCTTTAAGTTCTTAAGTTCTTAGTTTAAGTTCTTACTTTATCTTTTTCTTATCTTTTTCAGGTCCAATGCCTCAAACATACTTTGATTTTTGGCGAATGATTTGGGAGCATTCAGTTTCAATTATAATTATGATTACAAGGTTTGTCGATATGCTTTATCTAAATAAAAACAGTTTTTTTTTTTTTTAGTTTTTATTTGATGTGTTCACTTCTTTTATAAAGGTGCACAGAACGGGGCCGCGGAAAATGTGGTCAGTATTGGCCAGAGCAAGAAGGTCGAGCAAACACATTTGGTTACTTAGTTGTTACAAATCTTGCTTGCGATATAAAATCGGATTTTACGACGACACTTTTTGAGTTGACCAACACTTTGGTATGCGTAAATTAGAAGATATTTTAATTTTTTTGCGTATTTTCTATACAGTTAAAATAAATTTTTGTATAATTATATATAAAATTATGTCATTTTAAAAGGTATATTGACATAATTATGCTATTCATGTTTTTGTTTGTCATTTTTTAATTAATAAAAACTTTTTAAATATTTCTATCAGACTCGATCTTCACTTCGAGTGTATCATGTACAATTTACTAGCTGGCCGGATTTTGGTGTTCTTTCATCTGCCACGCCTATCTTAGATGTGCTTGATTATGTAGAGTTGTATCAGGACGAGGCTAGTAAGTACAGAACGAACGCAGCTGAAACTGAAAAAAATAATTTGTCGAATTCTCAGTTAGAAGGATCTGGAGACTACCAGACTCTTTCACCGAGTGTTGATTTTAAAGAAAATTATAACTTAAATTGCGAAGATTCAAATACAGCTAAACGCTCACCTATCGTTGTTCATTGCTCAGCAGGCGTCGGACGCACTGGTACGTTTTGCTGTTTAAGCAACTGTATTGATCAAATTGAAAGTTTAGGAACCGTAGATGTATATAATACCGTTAAAAAAATTAGAGATCAGCGCGCATTTAGTGTACAAACGCCTGAACAGTATGAGTTTGGCTACACTTCTATAATAGAGTATTTGATAAGAAAGAAATTAAAAAACGATGAAGATGTATCGGAACTAGAAAGTTTTTTATATGATTTTAAAAATAGCCAAATAGGTAGCGACAGTGAATAATTGTTTTGTCAATGTTCATTCGATATTTATATCGGCATTGTTATCGTATTGATACACATTGAAAATCTTTTTACCATAATAATTAGTGTTTTTTAATAAAGTTGATAAGATCAAAACAAAAACTTTAGATTGTTTTTAGAATTATCAACCATCCAATTAGATAATAATGTTTATTATACCTGATTATAATAAATATAAGGAATTTACTGTTTAAAATTTAATTATAAATAATTTTTTACATCATTTTTAAAAAAGTTTTGTTTTGAATTTTGTGTAATACTTTTTTTATGGAATTAAAAAACAAAACGCTTTTTAACGAACGGAACTTTTTAATTTGAATAAATTTTGCTATTGTTTATTGTTTTTGAAGAAGTATATATTGGTTTAATTTACTGGAATATAGGTTATTTATAATAATTGCTTTGAAATAGAAATGAAGTACTTGCACTTTTGATAAAATAAAAAATTAATTTAAAGTTCCTGGTGTCATTAGTTACTGATACTATATTTTTTTTTAATTTCATTGACTTTAGTTCTTAGTTTCTATAAACAAAAGAAACGCTGCGTTTTTTAAAGTCTAATTTAAATATATTTTTGCAAAATTTTAGTTTTTTAACTTTTTCTGTGATTAAAAGAAAAGATTAAAGAAAAAATTCAAAACGTTTAAGCCATCATCATAAGGATAATAATAAAGACGGAAATAAATTCCAGATTTTTTTTTATTTTTCTGTTAACTTTTTTACGGATTTTTAAAATATGACCTGGATAATTATTGGTTAGAACATAAAAGACAATAATAGTAGACCGGAGTTCAAACTTTATATGACCATAATTTTTGAACGCTAAAAATTTTTTAACGCTAACTAATAATCAAAACTTAAATATTTGTTAACAATGTCACAAACAAGGTTATAACCTTTTCAAAAGCTATCATAAAAAAATAAAAATTGTAGTTATTAAGGGGTTATTAAGGCTTTAAAAGTATATAATATATTTTTAAATTAAAATTTTTTTACTTTAAATATGTTTACTTTTATATCTTTGTTTAAAACATGCTTTGAAAAGAAACCAGCGATTCGTCAGCATCTTTTACATCATTTACATTTATACGAAGAAAAAAAAACATAACCAATTTATATGATGTTATTACCTTATTATTTTTTACAGTTTCTTATCATTCTAACGGTATAAAAAAGTAAGTACTGAAATAATAGATTTAAACGTTAATTTATGTTTGAAAGTGACCGAAAACAGCTTTTTTTTATCATTAAAATTTTATCATTATTAAAATTTAATTTTCTCCTTAAATACAAAACCATTACTAATTTTAATTTTCATCATATAAAAAGATTAAATAAAGAAGTTAAATAATTTTATCTTAATTTAATGCATTTAACATACTAACGCGTGATTTCACTTACAATAATGCTCGACATAACTTCTTCACAAATCGTATTGTGAATGATTGGAATTATTTACCGTTGTCATGCAAAAAGGCTCCGTCAATTAACGCATTCAAAAGTAGAATTGACAAGTATTTTTTTTCCTACAGCTGCAAACAGTGCATCTTTTACTGAAGATGAGCTGCACGTTTAATTTAATTAATTCGTGCTTTAGCAGCTACAAATATTGACTTTTTAGGTATATTTGTCATAAACGTAAACTGTGATTAAATGAAAGCAAAAATAAAAAAAATAATAATAATGAAAAAAAAAATTAAAAATAATAATAATAAATAAATAAAAAAATAAAAAATGCTTTTGTTTTTTAATCTGTTTATTGGATTGTTTTTTTATTTATTTGTCATGTAATCTATAAAGACTAATTTAAATATATTACTATTACTATTAATAAAATACTTGAAATTTAAACATCTTGTTAGAAATGCAATAAATGCAATTTTAACAAGTTTAAACTGATGTTTATAGAGCCAGGACTTTTACCTTTAGAAAAAATTCATTTTTAGCTGCTTAACAATCTTTCAAAAGAGTTTTTGAAAAATTATTTAACAACTTTCAACAAAAAGTTTGTAAAGTTATACCAATATATAAATTAGGGGAAATAAGCAATTAAAAACTCCTTAAACAATTATAGAAAATCTTAACATACCCTTTATTTATTTATTATTTTTTTTTTTTTAAGTTGATTAAGGTGCCCCAAGAAGTCCTTACGGTCTTATCACAGAGCACCACGGAAGAGCATTTAATGGGAAGTTCACGCCTCTTTCCCAACCGATGTCGCAAAACTTGCCCAGAGGTGGGGTTTGAACCTCGGATCTTACGTTTCCGAGGCAAGTGCGCTACCACTGCGCCACGGCTGCTTTAACGCTACCACTTTTATTTGGAAATAATTCCAGCAATTACTTCATTAAGTGTCTAACTTAAGTTAAACACTTAATGAGGTAATTGCTTCAGTATAGTATCTAAAAACACATTCCTTATTTAACTATTAATTATATTGTCTAACTTAAGGGGCTACCCCCCTCTGTTTTTAAATCTAAGTATTAAAAAAAAAAAATGTTATGGGTTTCTAGGTTTTAGTAAAATATAAACCTTTTTAAAAAAAAAATTTTAAAAAAATTGGTGGTTTCCTTGGTAACCAAAAAATACCCCTAAAATGACCAAAAAATAACTTCACGCTGGCCAAAATATAAGAATATGTGTACATATTTACCTTTTAAAATTTTAATACAATATTATCATAAAGTAGGGCTGTGAAATGAATGGATCAGATTTTTCATAACATTTTGCCATCATCAAAATGGCGCAATCAAAGATCATGTTCAAAATTTTCATCGATTTTAGGTCATATATATATATTTTTAATAAAATAAATAAATTCCAATCCATTCATTTCACAGAGTATAATATGATAAACACTTCCTGAAAATTTCATACAAAAATGTAATACGGTTCTCCAGATAATTTGGCCGGCGTGCACAAATTTCTATTTTGAGAAAAAGACAATTTAAGTTAAAATTTTTGAAAACAATACAATTTTTTTCACAAAAACTTTAAAAGGGTTCATTCTAATTTCTGCTTTTTGTAATCTTTCATTATTTATTGATTTGCATCCTGCAATCATATGAAAGCCTGGTTCCATGTCCAGTTGCTTCAAAATATCAATAGATGCTTTTGCTCCAATATTAAAATTGGCAACAGCATCATATACACCAATTGTTAATTGGGTAAGTGATACAAATGTTTGTTTTGGTATACGCTTCCAAATCATTCCATAAAAAGACTCATTGGCATTTTGTGTCTTACCGTGCAAACATTTTTGTAACTCAATGTCTTTCCTTAAATCCTTAAATATAGTTCTTACTTTCATTATGACATCCATTGGTAAACCCGGTTCCGGCTTATAGGTTGATGTCTTATTTATTTTATTAGCATTGTATTTGCACCAGCTGTCTGCACCAGTGAGGCAGTGTGGGAAATGTAAGCTATTATTTTTTGAGGAAGCAACATGAAATAAAGATGCCAACACCAGTTGGATCAGATTTTTGAAGACTTTGAGTTAAATTACAACCTTTACAATATCTGGACATGATTTCAACATTTAAAATTTTGCCACTAGCAGTAGAGATGGCAGAAAAGACTCTGTTGAGTGATGAGTATCCTCGTTTGTGCCATGTTTCATCGCAAGATAAATAAATATCGGTTACTTTCAAAGCTGTATTTTGCAATTTTTTAGCAGCATTTAACATTGTTCGTTCTGCTACATTTTTAACAGCTTTTGAAATTACTTTTATCAGTTTTTCAAAATTGTTTTTGGTCATTGGCTTAGGTAGATTCATAATGGCACAAAATTTTTTGATGCCTGCATATCCATGACCCAATAATCGCATACAATAAATTACTTGTTTATTGATATCAAATCCTTTTATATTTGTCATAGTTAGAAGTGTAGAACTTTTGAAAATGGTTACAAGCTCTTTTCATACACTTAAGATATAGTAAGGAAGATAAACCACGTCGTTGAGTATATCTCTCACTTAGTGAGATTGTTGAACAACCACACTCTGGACACAAAACAGAACTTAAAATAGACATTAAAACAGCAACATAAATTATACGATAACCAGATATGGCAGGTTTTGAAATAATTTTATCTTTTAAGTTTTCGATTTTATGAGCTGAAGCTGATAAATTAGGTGGATTTTCAAAAATTGGTTCAGTAACACAAGTGATGTTAGGGGCACTTGGATTTATTGTCGGCAATTCGATATTAGTACTATCAGATACAATAACAGTATTAACAGAATTTTGAACATTTCCCATAAACCTTTTCCTTTTTTTATGAGTTTGTGTACATTTCTTAACTCGACAAGCTTTTCCCATTTTTACTAATTAAACTAACCTAATAAAATCTCAAGAACTGACTGAACTGAAGAATATTGTCGTACTTGATGTACCAAGGTATTGGTAAATTCTAGAAAAACGCATCAAGAAGTTGTTCAAGCTTATGCATTGCAAGTGTAACACTATTTTGGATGAAATTAAGGTAAAAGTATGGTGTATAAAATTGTTTAAGTGCGTTGCTATGGCGTTGCTAAGGAAATTACTTAAGAGGTGGTTAACTTAAATAGACAATTTAAGATAGTTAAAGATTAATCTGATACATCGAAAACAAATTTTATGATTCTGCATAGTTTGAAAGAGTTAAAATTAAAAAAAAAAAAAAAATTGAAAATTTTGAAATTTTATGGGGGGATAGCCCCTTAAGTTAAATTAAAACACTTAATTTAAATTAAAACACTCTTGTTGAGTTTACTGTGACAGAAGACTTTAAATAAGGATAAAAAAATATAAAAAATAAAACTAATTATTAATATTATATTTACTTATTGAAAAGTAATGTTTTCTTTACTTACTTTACTTTGCATGTATTTGGAACATGCAATTTATAAAAAGAAAACACACACACACACTCACACACAGATATATATATATATATATATATATATATATATATATATATATATATATATATATATATATATATATATATATATATATATATATATATATATATATATATATATATATATATATATATATATATATATATATATATATATATATATATATATATATATATATATATATATATATTAGTTACATAAAAACACAAATATTAAAGAATATAGGTCACTCTACAAAGCAAAACAATTGTTGTCACAAAATAATACAAAATTTATCTACTTAAAAATAAAATAATAAAAAACTTATCTTACATACTAATATCTTACATACATACTAATAACTAGAACCGATTTATCTACGTCAAAAAACAAGTCCTAAACCAAGCCTACAAGAAAGACAGCTCTTGCTCAACCCTTACTGGAAAAAATGAAAGCACTAAATATTTTTTAAATTAGTAAAAACCAAAACTTTTTATGTCTAACTACAAACTAGATCTGGTACCAGAACATTTTACTACATATATATTGTAAAAATGTTTTGGTAAAAAAGTAAATTTTTTTGAAAATAATCTAAACAAATTAATACAAGAGCGAAAGAAAACTTTAAGACGCCATTTTGAATTTAAAAAAACTCTTAAGATTGTTGAATATGAATTTATACAAAAAATACTTTTAAAAAATAAACCACTAATAAATATAACAAAAACAATTTAAGCAGTCATGGCGCAGTTGTTAGAGTTCTGGCTCAGAACCTAGCCGTTTGTGGTTCTACGCCGGCTCTATCCCGACAGGCGACATTTGTAATTAAGAAGCCGTGAACTTCTTGGTTAAATACTCTTCCTCGGTGCTCTGTGATAAAACCAATAGGTCTTCTCAGAGTACCTTAAAAATTTAAATGAAAAAAAAAAAAGAAAAAGTAAACAATTATCAGGAATTTTTTTAAAATACAGAAATTGCTATATATTTTTTATATAGCATACAGAAATAATAAAAGGTTTAAGGTTAACAATTTTTACAATAAAAGAAATCCGAACCTATTACAAAAAATTTTGGGAAACATGTTTTGTTGCAGAGCTAAGTTTTGCAATTTGGATTCTCGCATAACATCATGTTTGAATGTAATTTCTTCTTTTGGCTGAAGTTGTTGTAACCGGTTCTATATTTTGAGTGACTTCTTTTTCTGCAGGGTTTGCCAATGGCATTATGAGTTTGCAGATGGTTTTACGCTTTTTAGCTGGTTTTTCAGTTAATTTGAGTTGCTTGACTTTTTCTCTTTTTTTGAGATGATCTGCAACACCGTGTTCTGTAATACATTGGCCAGTAATTTTTGGAATATTAGGCTGCTTCGATTATTTTACATGAGACTGATTTTTCTTGAAAACAGCTCATTTTCCATTTCGATTTTCATTCTCTCATGTAGTGCTCTGTACTTGTCGAACCTTGAGCAACGTAGAAAAATTCTCTTTATCTAAGTTTTTGCATTTTGTGTCTTCGTAATATTTGGTAAGAACTGCCTTCCACACTTGCTTAGCATGGCAATAGACACCTCTGTCAGTGGATGAAGAATGTGAGATGAGTTGGCTGCTAGACAAATCAAAATTATATAGTTTTCTTGACATAGCAATACAGCTGCTAAACTGACGTGAGGCGTATGTCCATCAATATGAGTACCACTAATAGCTTGACATTCTGATATATACACTACCTTCAACCATTCAATAAATTTGTCATGCTCCATCCAACCAGATTTAGAAACTGAATATTTGGTGCGAGGCGGACCCACTCAGCTCTAAAGTTTCGTTTTGCTTTGTATACCACGAATGGTGGTGTAAAGTATCATCAGCATTACAGCAAATGTTCACTGTGTAATGGATTTTTTCATTGTTACCAGTGAGTTTCAAAACACGTTTTGCACCTTTTCAACATACTACAGTTGTTTTACCGTGATTAACATAGAAATCCGTTTCATCGAAATTCCAAATGTGACAACCAGGAGTTATCCCAGACAATTGATATTGTTTAGTGACAACTTCAAAATAATTATCAATTATTTCTTGCGTACAAGAAGCGGGTTTGGCAGATGTTAAAGTGTAAGTTTTTCTTGAGGAAATTTCTTTAGATGATCGGTTTATAAATGCATAAAACCAGTCTTTGCCAGACCTGCCGTTTTTAAATAGGCCTGATTGATTACGAAGAAGGTAACCGCATACGAAGTCCATGACATTGTTTCGTGTTAAACCATAATCACATAGGAACTTAAACGCATGCACCATATTTGACTCTGTTTGCTGTGAGAATATGGTTGTTGATCCTGATCCCTTAAAGCTAGGACTTTTGTTGTTTTTGCGACCTATTAGAGTTGAGAATAGAATGCCATATTTGAATGCAGCTTTTCTGATTGAAGTATTTTTTTCTTTTACATCATTTAACGCAGCTTCTAAATCTTCTTCATTAAATGACTTTTTACTTGTTGTCATCTTGAAAGTGAATAATTAATAAATATCATTGAGTCATTTTTGTAAAATAACTTTATATAGGAAGAACCCGAAACTAATACATGAGAAAATTCAATAATTTAATTGACCTAGGTACCTAATTTTAAAATTCACATACTATTTAATAAAGGAATTTAAAGTAAATATGTGAATGATTGGTTTTACCAGAAAAAAATTTATATTAGTTTTTCTTACTTTTTTGTCTAATTTTTAACTACAAAACGAAAAAAAAAATATGTAATCGGTATTAAAATTAAATTTTTTACAAGATAGAGGTAAAATTATTTTTAAATGAATTATGGTTCCCGAACTATTACGATAGCAAATAAAAGAAAAAGCATATTTTTACGACTCTCTTTTTAACTTTTATAAAAATAAAATGACTGAAAAATGACTTGGATTTTATTTTGACACATTTGAATAAAGGAGATGATTCTCTTTCTTCTGGTGTTTTTGTTTTTTTAAATATTGCTATCAGCTCCAGAAATATTTAAATTTTTTGATCAGTGATCGAAATAATAGTATGATCGGTTTGACCCGCTTTTACTCTATAAGTTAATCTTTTACGTAAAATAAAGTTTTAACTTATAAAATCAATATTTTTTTTTTTTTTGCTACTGGCAACACCGTTACTTTTGACAGCCATTTTGTATGATGTCATCTTAATAATAATCTTTTAATAGTCGCCTATACAATCTTGGTTACATTTCACGACGCCCAGCTAAGAAGCCTAAACTGACTCCAAAAATGATGCAAAAAAGGCTGGAGTGGGCAAAAAAGTATAGGAATTTAACAGAAAATGATTTGAAATTGGTAAAATTAATTTTGATGTATTTAAAATATCCACTTTCTTACACCAAAGTTTAAATATTCACTTAACAATCCTTGTATAACATTTTAAGGTATACTTTAGCAACGAGAGTACTTTCCGAGTTTTAACAAAAAAGGCTCAATATGTAAAAAGAAAAAAGGGGAAAAATACTTATTGGACTGCATCATTCAAACTGTTAAACACTCCATTTCTGTGATGGTTTGGTTAGTGATATGTGGAAGGGGAATGGAAAAGCTCTATATTGTAGAGGGAATAATGAATCAGTTACAACATCAGAAAGTCCTGGAACGAAAATTGTTGCCACAATTGGCAGAATGGTTTAGTTCAGGTGAAAAAAAAAACCTTCATGCGGACCATGTCACACGGCTAAATCAGTTAAAAAATATTTATCAGAACAAAATACTCCATTACTTGATGGGCCAGGAAACTTTCCTGACCTAAAACCTATAGAAAATGTTTGGGCGCTCCTAAAGAAGTAAATATCTAAAAAAAAAATGTTATAAACAAACTGTATTTAGTAGAAAGAATTATTCACCATTGGAACCATAATAAAGAATTGAAAGAAATGGCTGAAAAACGCGTTAAAAATATGCCATAAAGGGTTCTTGGAATTATAGAAGCAAAAGAAGAATCACCAAATACTGATCTTGAATATATTTTAGTAATATTTGAATAATAAAATTAATTAACAATTTATTAATTTTTTTTTTTATTTTTCAAAAAATACCCACTTCTTAAATAAAAATTACTTTTGAGTACATAAATCACAAAAAAAAAAAATTAAAATAATAGAAATTTGATATATATATATATATATATATATATATATATATATATATATATATATATATATATATATATATATATATATATATATATATATATATATATATATATATATATATATATATATATATATATATATATATATATATATATATATATATATATATATATATATATATGTAAATGCATAAAGCAAGCATACTTTCTAAAACTTGAGTTCAGCATAAATGGACGATGTTAAAAACATGAGTTACTATGGAAACCTAAATTCAGTATAAAGTGATCTTTTCATCTTTAAAGTATTATACTTCAATTCCAACTTTGTTGAAATTTAACTAATTTTTTTTTGTATAAATAAGATCTGACTATATTTTTTTGATACTAATTGAATTTGGTTACATGTATTATAGTTGGATGTATCTTAAAAGAAATACAATACTTATAAACCTTGTATTATTGTTAATGGTTGCGGTATTCTTGACTTTAAAACTATACAACGTCGGTGTCATTAATATTACCTTAAAAAATAGTTTTTTAGTTGTTGAAGCTACGTCACAAAACCTAAAGGTGTCCACAACTTTGGCAACACCACAAGTTCCAATTCCTTGGAGGTTTCAAATTGAAGAGGATGGTTTTTTTTTTCCTGACACAAGTGATAAAGAAAAGTATATTTCTTATGAGCGGATAAATGGTCCTATCACCAAGCAAATTACAATATTTGAAAATGCAGTTATTTTTGCTTATATTACAGGGAGAACTTTGCTTGTTCCAAAATTAAAACTTCGAAAATCTGAAAATATTATTAACCAAAACATTAATTTTAGTACTAATAACAATGGACCATACTTTAACTATTCTCCTCATGGTTCAATAAGTTACGACTATAACAAAAACTTTGTTCATAAAATAGATTTTCAAAACAATCTTTCCGTTTCTTTATTAAATGAAATATCAATGTCGGAGATTATTGATTTTGACCTATTATCAACGCAAATAAAACTAAAAGCGCTCGAAGAAAGAAATACGTCTACTTTGAGCCAATATAAAGTTTGTCAAGACCCACATCTTGGATTTTGGGTAGACTACATTCCGTCTATTGAAAATATACAAACGTGGCGAATTTTGAAGCAACAGTACTTTTACCCATTAAAACTAAAACTTACTTTTGGTAATAAAGAATATGTTTGTCCAGGAACTAAAGAATATATGAACCGATGGGGTCCACCTTTGAGAACAAAACCTTTGTACCGAGGAATTATAACAGAACTTGTTAAACGTAAAGAAGATCTTATTTTTTTTCAAGGAGATACGCTAGACACTACTCAAATTCGATTTTTTAACCAACAACGCACACAAAAAGCTCAAGAAATTTTGCTTTTTTATATTCGATTTTCTCGTTCCTTAACGCAGAAAGTCAAGGAGTTTGTAAATCTCTTAGAAAAAGGGTATTCAGCTATACTTGCTGAAGGTGATATAAAACCAGATGGTTTATCGTTGTATATATCAAACGAAGCAGATAGACTTAACTTAATCAACGTGTCCAGCACCGTTTTCATTGTTTGTAACGCAAGTTTTCGAGATGCTTTTACCCCATTGCAAGAAAAAAGATTTACTTTAATATTTGCAGACGACTTTGTTAATAATAGACTTTTGGACGGTACTACTGGTATATATTCATCTGAATATGCTCATATTATTTCATTGATGCTATGTGCCCACGCAAAACAGTTTATTAGCCTGCCAGGAACACATGATTTATATTTTGTTGAACATCTTCGTCTTCAAGATGCTACAATGCTTGATGGATTGGTTACAAATAAAATAAGCGTACGTTGGGCAAAACATACTATCAGGCACCAAGCCGATAACTTAAAAGTTTTGATGAAAATCAAAACCCAACAACAAACAACCTTTTCAACAAATACCTCTTTGAAATCATTTGAAGTAAATACCTTAAAAACCAATTCAAGTCAACAAAATAAAACTTTTCTGGTAAACATGTCGAAAAGGTCTTCGCTACTGTTGAAAAAAAGAGATAAGTTAACAAGTATGGCTTGCATATTTTGTAACTATGTTCGCTATGTAACTGGACTACATGGTTGTCCAGCTATGAAGCAGACTTGTTAAGTTGAGATTTATTATCTGAGCATTTGCATATACTAAGAAGAATTGTCACAATGTAATATGTCTCCCAGTATTATGATGCAATACAACGAATGTTTTGCATTACTCTTCGCATGATTCTAATATATTTTGCACAAGAAAAAGGATTTAAAACAGCAATTTAAAACAAACTTGTATTTCTTAGTTACTGCAATCGAAATTGTGCAATGTCTGTGTGTTGCGTTAAATCCAAATTGCTGCAAATTAGATTCCACAGCAACTTTTGAGCAGTGGTGAAAGTTCTGGCTAAGAACCAAGAAGGTTAAGAGACGATGCTGGCTTTGGCCACATAAGCGACATTGGTAAGGAAGGAGACGTGAATGTTTTGGTTAAATGCTCTACACAAGTCTTTCGCGATTAGAACAATAAGTCTTCTTGGAATAGCTTAATAAATATAAAGAATTTAGTAAAAAACTACCTACTAAACAGTAGGTAGAATGATATGAGTACACAGCAAAATCCAAGATTCTTGTTTTAAGCAAAAAAAAGTCTTAAAACAGGAAAAAAAAGACTTGTCCGCAACGTAAGAATATTTTTTCTTGTTTCAAGAATTTTTATTCCTAAAATAAGAATTTTTATTCTTGTTTAAGAACTTTTTTTCTTAGATATTTTTTTTTCTCGTTTGAAGAATTTTTATTCTTAAAACAAGAATCTATTTTTTTGTTTCAAGAAATTTTGTTCTTAAAACAAGAATATTTTTTCTTGATTCAAGAATTTATATTCTTAAAACAAGATTTTTTATTTTTATTTTAAGAACTTATATTTTTAAAATTAGATATTTTTTTTCTTGTTTCAAGAACTTATATTCATAAAAAATTTTTGTTTCTTATTTCAAGCTTATTTTTACTTAATAAGATTCTATTTTCTTGTTTCAATAATATTTACTCTGAACTACAACACAATATTAAAAGAGTACTTTTTCTATGGAAAAAATGAAACATTATTTTTACTTAATAAGATTCTATTTTCTTGTTTCAATAATATTTACCCTGAACTACAACACAATATTATAATAGTACTTTTTCTATGGAAAAAATGAAACATTATTTTGAAATTAGGATGATATAAAATAAGAATATTCAAAAAGTATTTATACATTTAAACAACAACTCTAATCGTTGAAATAACTAATTGTTCTTTGGAATGTCTAGTTATTGTTTATGCTTGTAGCTGTGATACTCCTCCCATATCCATTTTAATAAGCTCAATCACGACGTGATTGGGCTTATTACTAATAACGACGACAGAAAATGAAAAGCTTCTTAAAATAATCTTTCCCCACACATCACCTTGCCTCCATCGTCCGTTACGTACAGATAAGAATTTTTTTAATCTGAAAACAAATATAATAAACTCAAATCTATGTTCAGTATAAGGTTTTTTTAAAATTTAACAGTAGTATCTTTTCATACCTTATAATGTCAGGAATCCTTATATATATATATATATATATATATATATATATATATATATATATATATATATATATATATATATATATATATATATATATATATATATATATATATATATATATATATATATATATATATATATATATATATATATATATATATATATATATATATATATATATATATATATATATATATATATATATTCAAGTGTTTTCAAAAATTCATACAAACTTGGAGCTTTCCAACAGTATGTCCAGTTTTAGTCTTTTTTTTCTTGGAACTTTTATTTGGAAATAATTGCAGCAATTACTTCATTAAGTGTCTAACTTAAGTTAAACACTTAATGAGGTAATTGCTTCAGTATAGTATCTAAAAACACATTCCTTATTTAACTATTAATTATATTGTCTAACTTAAGTTAAACACTTAATTTAAATTAAAACACTCTCGCTGAGTTTACTGTGACAGAAGACTTTAAATAAGGATAAAAAAATATAAAAAATAAAACTAATTATTAATATTATATTTACTAATTGAAAAGTAATGTTTTTCTTTACTTACTTTACTTTGCATGTATTTGGAACATGCAATTTATAAAAAGAAAACACACACACACACACACACACACACACACACACACATATATATATATATATATATATATATATATATATATATATATATATATATATATATATATATATATATATATATATATATATATATATATATATATATATATATATATGTATATATATATATATATATATATATATATATATATATATATATATATATATATATATATATATATATATATATGTATTTATATATGTATATATATATATATATATATATATGTATATATATATGTGTGTATATATACACATATATATATATATATATGTGTGTGTGTGTGTGTGTGTGTGTGTGTGTGTGTGTGTGTGTGTGTGTGTGTGTGTGTGTGTGTGTGTGTGTGTGTGTGTGTCCGACGCATGCCCCCAAAAAAAGACGATTATCATACAAATGATAATCGTCTTTTTTTGGGGGCATGCGTCGTTCTCGAGTACTTCGTGGAAAAGGCACTGTTTCTTGGAATCCATTTTCGGCTTCACCATTTCCTTGTAACACGTCAACACGTCAACACGTCTCCTTTGCTTGTCTCCAACACATTTTGAATTTGCTCATCATGGTTTGCTGCGTTATCTTGACCAGTGTCTGCGTTCACTTTAGGAATATCGCAAGGTTGAATGTTATTTCGATATCGGATATGTTTTACATGACACGGAACGCCATTAAATTCAACAACTTGTTTCGAAATATTTCCTGTTAGTAAAAACTTGCATCAACCCACACATTCCCCTCGTCACCATGTACAGCCCAACCACCATAAGCTGGATTGCACTTTGCAACCTCATCATAGACCTCTTGAAGTACACGCTTTAAATTTTCATCGCAAACTTCATCATCCCAACCCTTCGTCAAACTAACCACTCTTCTTTTCAAAAGACTTCAAACTACACGTAACCAACCACATCCTGGTAAATGTCCTACCAAATGCCCACAAACGGAAAACACTACTCTTCTACTTGACTTTTTCAGCATTGCGTCGACTTGATTATCCCTGGACCAGGTCAACTTGCTACCAACCTTGTACACACGTAATCCTAAAATACGAACCCCATTACATCCAATCCGTTCACCTTCTTTACTCTCTAAACCATATTTTTCAAAATGTCTTTTGACATAATCAAGACTCACTTCCTCATTGACAAAAATATCGTCCACGTAAGCGGATGCTCCTCTCTTCACCAATTCATCTTGATCAATAATTGCACTCACAACAGATTTCATGATCATTGGAGCAACGTTTAATCCAAAACCAAGCCGTGTCAAACAATACCTTTTGTTTTGAAAAACCACTGTTTGGAATGGCCAAAGAGATTCTTCAGTTTTTAATTGGAGATAAGCCTTGCGTAAATCAATAATTGTTGGTTTCTTTCCCATTCTTCTCCATTTCCTCAGCTTCTCAACACGCACATCTGCATCTTTTGTATACGTTTCAATAAAACTGTTTGCTTCTCTCCAGTCCAAAACGGGTCTGACTTTATTATTTTTATTTCGTTGGATAACAGCCATTAAGGGAATTTGCCCTTTGGGTGGTCCCATCTTATTTTCGTTGTATTCAATTAACCATTTATGATTGATCCAATCCCGTAGTTCGCTTTCATATTCTGCTCTTGCATATTTTGGTATGCTGTATTGGGCAACTTTGTTAACCAACTGGTTGGGGCCTTCTCCATCTCTCCATTTCCATTTAAACTCCCACTCGATACCATTAAATATTGCTTCATGATCTTGTTTTTTAATTTCAATTTTATTGACTTTATCTTTCTTTGAGACTGCTATTCCCCACAAGCCGAACCCAAACTTTGCTATTCCAGACGGGGAAATAAAAACTCCTCCTAGCAATTTAATGGAACTCATTCCCAGCATCATATTAACTCCAAACGGTTGAAAATCCACTTAAATAACTTCGTCTTGTATTTGAATACCATCAACCTCAATAGTGACAGCCGCTAATCCATTACATTGATAAAATTTACCGCCAAAAGTTACTACCTTTGGAAGATTCTGGGATTTATGATGCTTTCTTGACAGCAGTTTTTGATTTATAATTGTCTTTGAACAACTTGTGTCTACCATAGCTGTTGCTAACAAACCATTAACTTTTAGATCAATAAGAGATAGTGCGCTAATTCCACCATTGTTCAGGAACGAGGTAGCGCACAATCATCGCTCCCGCACTCGTTTCCCTGCTTCATTAAGCATTTTGCAGCCACGTGTCCTTCTTTCCCACATTTAAAAGATCGAACAAAATTCTTCGGAGCCAGATTTTTTGCAAAGGGACAGTTTCTCGCGATATGGTTTAACCTTTTGCAGTTGTAACACACTAACGAAACTTTTGTGGTATGATTTCGAAAAACAGCTCCAACAGTATCATCTACGCATACACGATTTAAAGCAGCTCTTACTTTGGGTAACATAACATCGATTGGATCCATAACAGCTCGAAATCTTTTTGATAAATCCTTGGGCAATCCAACAACAAACGCTAATTGAATAGACTCTTCTGACAATTTAGCAAGATAAACCAATCGTTTTAAGCCGGCTAAAAACACATCAACTTTCTCTCCAACGTTTAATTTTCGTTTAACAAAAAAGTTCGTATGCCGTATAAGCATCTAAAGAGAATGCTGCTAACAAGACACGCTCAACTTCTTCTTCGTCTTGCTTATTTTCAGCGTTTAAACTATCGAATACCAAATAGGCAGTTTCTCTTAGAAGAATTGGAAAGAGTGACTTCAGCTTTACATTTTGCATTTCTGCAATCACTTTAGTTCGCTGTATCCAAACGGCAGCGTCTAATGTTTCATCAAACGTTTCAAACATATCCAATAATTTGATATTCGAATCCATGCCCGGTTAGCTTGTAATTTTCTCACTCGAAACAAAACTTCTTTTATTTCCAAAAATTTATTTATGAACTTGAATTATATTCCCCTTACAAAAGTTTTACATCCATTTATATAATATATCAACCCACAAAATCAATATTACAAAATCCGCTTAATACATAACTACAATTAAAATAATAAAAAACTATGAGTAAAAAAGAAACCACGTAAGTGCCGTAGAATGTTCTAGA